TTGTTGCGCAAGGATAACTAGGGGCTTGGCGAAAATTGAATAAACTGTAACGTATTGTTAGATGCGCATCCAATTGCGAGCATAAGATGAATATCCCAGCCATAAAACGAGAGCTAAGCGTTGGCTTTCCTATTGACGACCTTCGTTTAACGTGCTGCGAAAAAGGCCACCAGGCAGAGGAGGACACCCAACCACAGCAATCTAAGTCAGAGCTGGAACTGCGACCACCCTAACGTCGGAGTCGCATAAATTAAGTGGAAGCAGCAGTATCAGCATCAGCATTGGCCCCAACCTCAACCCATCGCCTGATTCTCAATGGCGCATTTATATTGCGTGACTTTTGTTGTCACAGTTTCACTCCTTCCCCTTTTAAACGTTGTCTCTGTCGTTGATGCTGTCGTTCGCGTACTTTGCTCTCAGTTTCCTGCTGCAGTAGCCAATTTAATTGCAATTTTTCCTGCAGCCAGCGTCAAAGACAAATAACCAAAGCTAATAGATCATGTCATCTTGTCAACAACTTTTACAATCTAATTGCGCACATTCACAACAAGGGTTAACAGAGACTTGAAAGGGCGAGAGCATCCCAATACATATTTCAATTTTTTTTTTGTTTTTTTTTTTTATTGTTGTTTTTATTTGCAATCTGTCTTATACTAGACAATAAACAAATTTGTTAACAATAAGATTAAGTAATATTTCAAATTAGATTTAGTTTTGTATATAATTCCTTAAATTTATGTCTTTTTATAAGCGTAAATTATATTATTGTTATATTGAAATAGGGACATTATAATTTTTATATATATATTATTAAAAGCATTATAATAAGTAAAATCTTTATTTTATTTTTTGTTGTTTTACTGATTATTTGTGCTTCTTCCTTGAATTTATTTGCCGATCGTGTGATCAACTGCCCGGCTAGCTCAGTCGGTAGAGCATGAGACTCTTAATCTCAGGGTCGTGGGTTCGAGCCCCACGTTGGGCGAAGATAATATTTTTTATGTTTTTAATGATTTTAAATCGAAATAAATTAAATAATATTTTTAATATTAATATTTATATAAATGACTTCCAATTAGCAAAATTAAGTATTAAATAAAAAAAAATTAAACCTTGCGATCCTGCCAGGAGTCGAACCTGGAATCTTCTGATCCGTAGTCAGACGCGTTATCCATTGCGCCACAGGACCCATACATAACTCAATGCAAAGATATATTTTTAATTCCCAATCATTTTATTTCCAAGCGATTTAAATGGAGATTCTATTTTTAGAATATATATGCATATGTAAATTTGTAACGTATATTCTTGATGTGCCCCAATAAAAAAAAATGGCACATAAGATTAAAGAATATCGCTTTAAAACTTTAACCAAAGTATGTTTGCCCGCTGGCAAGACCTTGCAAACAAATGTAAGAAGTTACATTTATGCTGTCTTGGCAAATGCAAATGGCATGCCATTCAAACAAACAGAAATCATATTATCCATACGCCCGTTCGCCCGTTCGTCTTTCCCATTTGCCATTCGCCACTCGCCTTTAGCCACCAACAGCAATTTTTGATTTTATATCATGAAGCGAACCCCACTCGAAGAGTAAAAACGCAACGATCTGTGCTTGCACATTTCGTTCTTGTAGTCCAATCCCAATGGGACTCGTAAACACTTTGGCCAGCACGCAAAAGAAAGCATACAAAAAATGTGGCACAGCAGCAAATGCACATTGAGTGAGGGAAAACGTTACAGCTACAAAAGAGGGTGCACCCTAATATCCTAGCTCTGGCAATTGCCAATCCTTGACCCGTCATAACGCTCCCTACCCAGCACCGAGCTGCTTTTTCCTTTTGACAGCTCAGTTAAATGAGATATGCTTTTTACATTTTTTCGATAAATTTCGTGGCACCCCAGCTTCGCAGCAGTGGATAACATTATTAGCGCAGAACTTTGCCATAAAAATGGCAAACGGATTTACGCAACGCTTAAAATTGAGATTTACTGTGAGCGAAATTTATAGCAAACGAAAGAAAAAACACCCTTCAGTAACAAATTTAAGGAGAACTACTTAAACTTCGAGCTTATCAAGTGACATTGATGAATGTGAGACATGCCACAGTTCTATAACTATCACTGAATTGTTCACAAAATGAAGTCTTTAGGTCTCGGTATTCTCTGTCTGCTCGATACACTTGCTTAGGCTCAAGACCTGGAGGACATACCTGATGAGGAGCAGCCGCTACCGATTTTTTTGCTCACATCGGGAGATGGCCACATATTTTATATTTGTATAATCACAGATAAATTGGTTCCAAGCCCAAGCCACCTGCGCCTCTTTGCAGGGCTACTTGGAACTAGCTTCAAATATAGCAACTTCCGTAGTCTACCTCATTCTCTATATAGCTGTGTCGGCTTTAATGCAGTTACCGGTGGATGGATCTCTGAAGATAGCTATACTGATATACTCATTTGTAAGTATTTTCTGTTTGCTAACATTTTGCTATGTATATAGATATTGAAAAGCTTGGTAAAAGCTTTCGAAAAGCTCAATTCAAGCAAAAAGTCAAAGCAAAATGGGTACCGCCAATGATGAGTTTATTTGGTTTTTTTGCCGCCCACAAAAAGCTTGCTGCATAGCCTAGGTGTTAAGCCTGTGGTTGGAAAGCGACATGTAGGCAAGTTAGCGGAGGTTCGAATCAATGTGGTGTTCTATAATTACTAGCATAATTTTTTATTGCTGCTACATTCAATTATTAAATTTTTTCGGCTTTATTTTTATTTTAATATATGAACATTAACCAAAAAAAAAACAAAGTTGCAGTCGTGCACGTCTGCACTAAATTTATGCAAAAATCAAATATTCTTTGTAACGCCCTGCTTTGTCTATGAAATGTATATGGTAAACGTTAGAATATACATAAAACACTTTTTACTTAGAATAATTGCTGTATATTATATAATTAATACTATATAATGTATAGTAGTTATTTATACTAGTTATTATTTATTTATATTAAATGCAGTTAAATATGATTTTGTCTTAGAATACAGTTTTAGCAGTCGTTTTAAAATCGCGCTAACCATTTTCAACATTCAAATGTTTGATTCCATTAATAATAATGATAATTATGCAAATCATCTTTACATGTCCTTAAAATTCATGATCAGTTCTAGAAAGGGTCCAAAACTGTTGTCGAAATGTAAATATTAAAACAAATGTAGATATCTCCTGAATATGGTACGACAGAGATGGATGCACTGGAAACTAAGTTCTAACATAGAAAGTGCATGCAAATGCCATGAAATTTAAGGCTACACTTATCGGTCCTTCCTGGCTCTTTATGCAATGCCATGTGCTGAAGAAGTGAACGAGGAAATAAACGGACTACCCATGATGACTCAATAATTAATTCAATTAAAAAAGTGAAATCTACGATTTCCTACTTCCCAATACCCAATACATAGTGCAACTCACCTCATCTATTGCAACTTCCTAAGGAACACATAATCTGGTTTTTCAATTGCAGAGACATGCATTACTTGTTGGTTTGCGAAGAACAGGGAAACAACAAGAAGAATTAGGAAAAAATTATTTTTTAACAAAAAAGTTGTCAACTGATGCCAACAACACGCGGTGTTCCCAAGCGGTCCCCCATCTAAGTACTAACCGCGCCCGACGCTGCTTAATTTCGGTGATCGGACGAGAACCGATGTATTCAGCGTGGTATGGTCGTTGGCGTAAGACGACTGGCTAACGGTTCATTATGAATCAGGTATTGGTGAAAAAGCAGTTGGGAATTTTAACAGCGTTCGAATGCACAGCTAAAATAAGGGTTGGTTTGATAGCCAATGTTAAGAAATCATCCCTTAAAATCAGTTGAATGTGACACACGCGGAACACGAGGAAGTTCTTGTGAATAAATTTCTTTAATTTATAATTCTTTAGAAACATATCACAGCAAACACACAAATTAAGTTGGATTCGAATTTATTTATAATTTAACTAGCTGCAATTGGCTTATATATACAAGGGATCATTGGCGGAGCTGCTTGGTCTTTGGCATATGAAATAGTATTCACTGTAGCAGTCCACACTGTACCAGGACTGATCCAGGCCCATTACCATGCATGCCTCATGGCCAATGAAATCCACTTGGGGCTCATTGTTTGCCCACTTCTTATAGCCCAGAGGTATTCCCAGACCTTGCCATGTCCAAGAATTTAAATCTCCCAAGTTGCTGGCGCCCAGCCAGAAGCCTTCGTGTCCCAGCAGGTGATCTGGGCCGATTGATTGATTAATTGATTGATTGATTGATATATAGTATTATATGTACCATTGAGAGCTATGCTATGTATCACGAACAGGTGCTGCTCGTAGCTGGTGACTGTGGCCAGAATCATATCGTTTTGATGGCATATTTGATTCGCATTGAACCAATTCACCTGGCAGAAGAGTGGATAGGATTGGATGTGTATATGTGGCATTGCTTACCTTGCCGAAACTTGCAACGATATATTTATCGTTGGAGATTTGACAATTCCAAATGTGGAGACAGCCAATGAGCAGTAGAAGGCGAAACATTTTGTTAAGAACTCATGCCGATTTGAGTGCTGAGCGGGTTTTATATAGACGCGATAAGAAGCGCATCAAAAGTCGTTCAGAAAGCTATTAGTAGTAAATGGATCCAAATAGATAGAATGGGGAGACGCATGGTTCCAGGAAAACTGTGTGAGGAGAGGACATCTCTGTGTGTGTTGATACAAATGATATCGAAACTACTTTAGGAGTTTAGTTCCCAATTATTTTATAATATTTATATAAGATTTTTACTTAACCATAAGAGAATAAAGCGCATGTACTTTCGGCTTTGCTATCATACGATTTTTTGCAAACTTTAAACCTCGATTTGAACCTTATCAAATGACATTGATTAATGCTCTGGGCAATTAGTGGAACCATAAAGTGGTGCAAGTAGTGAAACTATAAAAGCGCGGCGGATATCATTGAATTGTTTACAAAATGAAGTCTTTAGGTATTGGTATTCTCTGTCTGCTCGGCACACTGGCCTGGGCTCAAGACCTGGAGCCCATACCTGACGAGGAGCAGCCACTGCCGATTTTTTTGCCTACATATTCATCGGACGATTTTGCACTATCCGCAGCTGTTAAGGTAAGCAGTGGCTATTGCTCTGTTTGATAAATGATTTATATAGACTCCTTTATATTTGTATAATCACAGATGAATTGGTTCCAAGCCCAAGCCGCCTGCGCCTCTCAGCAGGGCTACACCTTGGTCAGCTTGGACACGCAAGACAAGCATAATCGCGTTTACCTATTTTTGCTCCAGTCTGGCTATTTGCAACTGCTTACCGAACCTGTTTGGACGTCGGGCTCGAATCTGGCTAGCGGTTCTCAATGGAATTGGTTTAGCATTGGAACTAGCTTCAAATACCGCAACTTCCAGAGTCCACCTGGTTCCGCATACCGCTGTGTCGGCCTTAATGCTGTTACAGGTTACTGGATCGCTGAAGATTGCTACGCCCAGCGTTATTTCGTCTGCGAAAAGCGTTGTACAGAGGAATAGAAGCTAACGTAAACGACCTTTATATAAAATGTATATATTCTTTAATATGATATGGTGTTGGTCTGTACAAAGCATAATAAAAGTTTCTGATTGCAAAAAAGGGCTGCTTGGATTTGTTCTACTTGTGCAGATGGATAATGTAAATACATGAGTAAGCAGTTCTTTATAAACTAGGTTTCAGCGAAAGGGGGTTTTAGGGTTTTAGTTGTGACTGAAAAACCACATTGCTCCAGTTCGATATTCTGTGGATTTTATATTTAATATTTTATTTTAATTTAGGATAATATTTACTTTGAATTTTTTTCGTATGTCTTTAGAGAGCGGAGATGTAAAATATTATTTTTATCCTCTGACACTCACTATTTCAATGTCTTCTGTAACACATTGCGTTTGTTATGAGGCTAATATTTTTTTTATAAAATACAATTATTTTATATTTAATTTGCAATATCGAAGTGTAACCAGCTTTAGAATGATTGATAGCTCTGAGTATTTTTTGCAAGCGTACCAAAGTTTTGGCTAAAAGGGAATGTAGAAATAAGTAAGCTAATCAAACAATTTGATGTGAAAAGCGCTTTTATTTATCCCATCATAGCTCTTTATAATAATACTAATTGACGCAACTTGGTCAAAATCCATGACAAGTTCCAATTAAATGACAAAAGAGCTGAAAATATCCAACCTTGGTATCCGACTCATTTGGCAAGAGGCGCCTCATATTACATTGAAGAAGTAACTATCTCGCACATCCCGTTTTCTGACGAGAAAAGTTTTGCATAGCATACTTTGAAAATCCTGAAAATTATAGTGCTAACTGGACCCAATATTCAGCACCCTCAACCCATCCGTTGTCAGTTCAATGAACCTGGCGTCAAAGTAAATCTGATAATAAATATTATCGAGAATTTGCTCTGGATGCTGCGCAGAGCATGGAAATTTCTCAAGAAGGTCGAGTGAGCCAAGAATGGCTGTAAGAGAAAATTTCCAACTTCATTTCTTCATCTTTGAAATTCATAAGATGTTGTTTTAGTAATACATTTTGTGAGTGAAGAGAACAAGGTCCGATCTCGAGCAGCTTTCGATTCGACTCAGGACAGTCTCTAGGTCATAGACAAGGCACAGGGCCTTTGGGCTTACTACGCTGACACTTAAATAGAACTTAACTATGGAACTCATTGCATTTGATGATAAGATAGTTGTAACAATGATGGATGAGTTCGAAATTACTTTTAATGGCCTATAAAAGGCAACATGCCGTGGAGTTCTTGACAAAATGAAGTCTCTAGCTCTTGGTCTCTGTGCGCTGTTCTGCGTTGTGGCATGGGCTGACCTAACTGAGGTTGACGCACTACCGTCCTCCGACGATGAAGATGCAGCTCAACCCGTCTTAGCTTTGTTCACTTATGCAAATACACAGTACGGCTTAAGTCTGAACAAGGTACGAGTAATTGGAAAGATGCTCTGGACCAAATTTTAATTTCTTCTTCCGATTTTAGTTGACTTGGTATGAGGCGCAACTGTTCTGTGCCGAGCAGGAATATGTTCTAGCCAACATTCCTTCAGAAAGTATGCAGACCACTATATTGAACTTCATCCAAAGCTCCGCTGTGGACGAACTTAGCTCACTTGTTAACGAACCGATCTGGGTCTCGGGCACAAATCAGGGACTTGGCACCCAATACGTATGGCATAGCAGTGGAGCTCGGTTCACCTACCGCAACTTCCTTAGGAACCCATCATCTGGCTATCGCTGCGTCGCAATAAATGGACTCACAGGCGACTGGACAGATGAGAGCTGCAGAGACAGGCATTACTTTGTCTGTGAATTACAACCATGCGTTCCGAAGACTACGTAAGGAAGCTACAACATTTACTCTTCATATGTATTGAAGGAACATAAATTAAACACAATAAAAAAGGCAATCAGAATCAAAAATATTGAAAGTAATCTAGGTACAAATGAAACAAAACAACAAAAGTTCTAAAAAAAATTAGGAAAAAATAATTTTTTAACAAAAAAGTTGTCAACTGATGCCAACAACACGCGGTGTTCCCAAGCGGTCCCCCATCTAAGTACTAACCGCGCCCGACGCTGCTTAATTTCGGTGATCGGACGAGAACCGATGTATTCAGCGTGGTATGGTCGTTGGCGAAATACGACTGGCTAACGGTTCATTATGAATCAGGTATTGGTGAAAAAGCAGTTGGGAATTTTAACAGCGTTCGGAATACACAGCTGAAATAAGGGTTGGTTTGATAGCCAATGTTAAGAAATCATCCCTTAAAATCAGTTGAATGTGACACACGAGGAACACGAGGAAGTTCTTGTGAATAAATTTCTTTAATTTATAATTCTTTATGAACATATCACAGCAAACACACAAATTAAGTTGGATTCGAATTTATTTATAATTTAACTAGCTCCAATTGGCTTATATATACAAGGGATCATTGGCGGAGTTGCTTGGTCTTTGGCATATGAAATAGTATTCACTGTAGCAGTCCACACTGTACCAGGACTGATCCAGGCCCATTACCATGCATGCCTCATGGCCAATGAAATCCACTTGGGGCTCATTGTTTGCCCACTTCTTATAGCCCAGAGGTATTCCCAGACCTTGCCATGTCCAAGAATTCAGATCTCCCAAGTTGCTGGCGCCCAGCCAGAAGCCTTCGTGTCCCAGCAGGTGACCTGGGCCGATTGATTGATAAATTGATTGATTGATTGATTGATTGATATATAGTATTATAAGTACCATTGAGAGCTATGCTACGTAACACGAGCAGGTGCTGCTCGTAGCTGGTGACTGTGGCCAGAATCATATCGTTTTGATGGCATATTTGATTCGCATTGAACCAATTCACCTGGCAGAAGAAGCGTGGATTGGATGGGATGTGTATATGTGTCTATCTCCACATTGCTTACCTTGCCGAAACTTGCAACGATATATTTCTCGTTGGAGATTTGACAATTCCAAAGGTGGAGACAGCAAATGAGCAGTAGAAGGCGAAACATTTTGTTAAGAACTCATGCCGATTTGAGTGCTGAGCGGGTTTTATATAGACGCGATAAGAAGCGCATCAAAAGTCGTTCAGAAAGCTATTAGTAGTAAATGGATCCAAATAGATAGAATGGGGAGACGCATGGTTCCAGGAAAACTGTGTGAGGAGAGGACATCTCTGTGTGTGTTGATACAAATGATATCGAAACTACTTTAGGAGTTTAGTTCCCAATTATTTTATAATATTTATATAAGATTTTTACTTAACCATAAGAGAATAAAGCGCATGTACTTTCGGCTTTGCTATCATACGATTTTTTGCAAACTTTAAACCTCGATTTGAACCTTATCAAATGACATTGATTAATGCTCTGGGCAATTAGTGGAACCATAAAGTGGTGCAAGTAGTGAAACTATAAAAGCGCGGCGGATATCATTGAATTGTTTACAAAATGAAGTCTTTAGGTATTGGTATTCTCTGTCTGCTCGGCACACTGGCCTGGGCTCAAGACCTGGAGCCCATACCTGACGAGGAGCAGCCACTGCCGATTTTTTTGCCTACATATTCATCGGACGATTTTGCACTATCCGCAGCTGTTAAGGTAAGCAGTGGCTATTGCTCTGTTTGATAAATGATTTATATAGACTCCTTTATATTTGTATAATCACAGATGAATTGGTTCCAAGCCCAAGCCGCCTGCGCCTCTCAGCAGGGCTACACCTTGGTCAGCTTGGACACGCAAGACAAGCATAATCGCGTTTACCTATTTTTGCTCCAGTCTGGCTATTTGCAACTGCTTACCGAACCTGTTTGGACGTCGGGCTCGAATCTGGCTAGCGGTTCTCAATGGAATTGGTTTAGCATTGGAACTAGCTTCAAATACCGCAACTTCCAGAGTCCACCTGGTTCCGCATACCGCTGTGTCGGCCTTAATGCTGTTACAGGTTACTGGATCGCTGAAGATTGCTACGCCCAGCGTTATTTCGTCTGCGAAAAGCGTTGTACAGAGGAATAGAAGCTAACGTAAACGACCTTTATATAAAATGTATATATTCTTTAATATGATATGGTGTTGGTCTGTACAAAGCATAATAAAAGTTTCTGATTGCAAAAAAGGGCTGCTTGGATTTGTTCTACTTGTGCAGATGGATAATGTAAATACATGAGTAAGCAGTTCTTTATAAACTAGGTTTCAGCGAGATGGGGTTTTAGGGTTTTAGTTGTGACTGAAAAACCACATTGCTCCAGTTCGATATTCTGTGGATTTTATATTTAATATTTTATTTTAATTTAGGATAATATTTACTTTGAATTTTTTTCGTATGTCTTTAGAGAGCGGAGATGTAAAATATTATTTTTATCCTCTGACACTCACTATTTCAATGTCTTCTGTAACACATTGCGTTTGTTATGAGGCTAATATTTTTTTTATAAAATACAATTATTTTATATTTAATTTGCAATATCGAAGTGTAACCAGCTTTAGAATGATTGATAGCTCTGAGTATTTTTTGCAAGCGTACCAAAGTTTTGGCTAAAAGGGAATGTAGAAATAAATAAGCTAATCAAACAATTTGATGTAAAAAGCGCTTTTATTTATCCCACCATAGCTCTTTATAATAATACTAATTGACGCGACTTGGTCAAAATCCATGACAAGTTCCAATTAAATGACCAAACAGCTGAAAATATTCAACCTTGGTATCCGACTCATTTGGCAAAAGGCGCCTCATATTACATTGAAGAAGTAACTATCTCGCACATCCCGTTTTCTGACGAGAAAAGTTTTGCATAGCGTACTTTGAAAATCCTGAAAATTATAGTGCTAACCCAATATTCCAATATTCCGCACCCTCAACCCTTCCGTTGTCAGTTCAATGAGCCTGGCGTCAAAGTAAATGTGATAATAAATATTATCGAGAATTTGCTCTGGATGCTGCGCAGAGCATGGAAATTTCTCACGAAGGTCGAGTGAGCCAAGAATGGCTGTAAGAGAACATTTCCAACTTCATTTCTTCATCTTTGAAATTCATAAGATGTTGTTTTAGTAATTCATTTTGTGAGTGAAGAGAACAAGGTCCGACCTCTAGCAGCTTTCGATTCGACTCAGGACTGTCTCTAGGCCATAGACAAGGCACAGGGCCTTTGGGCTTACTAAGCTGACACTTAAATGGAACTTAACAATGGAACTCATTGCATTTGATGATAAGATAGTTGTAACAATGATGGATGCGTTCGAAATTACTTTTAATGGCAATAACAGCCTATAAAAGGCAACATGCCGTGGAGTTCTTGACAAAATGAAGGCTCTAGCTCTTGGTCTCTGTGCGCTGTTCTGCGTTGTGGCATGGGCTGACCTAACTGAGGTTGACGCACTACCGTCCTCCGACGATGAAGATGCAGCTCAACCCGTCTTAGCTTTGTTCACTTATGCAAATACACAGTACGGCTTAAGTCTGAACAAGGTACGAGTAATTGGAAAGATGCTCTGGACCAAATTTTAATTTCTTCTTCCGATTTTAGTTGACTTGGTATGAGGCGCAACTGTTCTGTGCCGAGCAGGAATATGTTCTAGCCAACATTCCTTCAGAAAGTATGCAGACCACTATATTGAACTTCATCCAAAGCTCCGCTGTGGACGAACTTAGCTCACTTGTTAACGAACCGATCTGGGTCTCGGGCACAAATCAGGGACTTGGCACCCAATACGTATGGCATAGCAGTGGAGCTCGGTTCACCTACCGCAACTTCCTTAGGAACCCATCATCTGGCTATCGCTGCGTCGCAATAAATGGACTCACAGGCGACTGGACAGATGAGAGCTGCAGAGACAGGCATTACTTTGTCTGTGAATTACAACCATGCGTTCCGAAGACTACGTAAGGAAGCTACAACATTTACTCTTCATATGTATTGAAGGAACATAAATTAAACACAATAAAAAAGGCAATCAGAATCAAAAATATTGAAAGTAATCTAGGTACAAATGAAACAAAACAACAAAAGTTCTAAAAAAAATTAGGAAAAAATTATTTTTTAACAAAAAAGTTGTCAACTGATGCCAACAACACGCGGTGTTCCCAAGCGGTCCCCCATCTAAGTACTAACCGCGCCCGACGCTGCTTAATTTCGGTGATCGGACGAGAACCGATGTATTCAGCGTGGTATGGTCGTTGGCGAAATACGACTGGCTAACGGTTCATTATGAATCAGGTATTGGTGAAAAAGCAGTTGGGAATTTTAACAGCGTTCGGAATACACAGCTGAAATAAGGGTTGGTTTGATAGCCAATGTTAAGAAATCATCCCTTAAAATCAGTTGAATGTGACACACGAGGAACACGAGGAAGTTCTTGTGAATAAATTTCTTTAATTTATAATTCTTTATGAACATATCACAGCAAACACACAAATTAAGTTGGATTCGAATTTATTTATAATTTAACTAGCTCCAATTGGCTTATATATACAAGGGATCATTGGCGGAGTTGCTTGGTCTTTGGCATATGAAATAGTATTCACTGTAGCAGTCCACACTGTACCAGGACTGATCCAGGCCCATTACCATGCATGCCTCATGGCCAATGAAATCCACTTGGGGCTCATTGTTTGCCCACTTCTTATAGCCCAGAGGTATTCCCAGACCTTGCCACGTCCAAGAATTCAGATCTCCCAAGCTGCTGGCGCCCAGCCAGAAGCCTTCGTGTCCCAGCAGGTGACCTGGGCCGATTGATTGATTAATTGATTGATTGATTGATTGATTGATATATAGTATTATAAGTACCATTGAGAGCTATGCTACGTAACACGAGCAGGTGCTGCTCGTAGCTGGTGACTGTGGCCAGAATCATATCGTTTTGATGGCATATTTGATTCGCCTCGAACCAATTCACCTGGCAGAAGAAGAGTGGATTGGATGGGATGTGTATATGTGTCTATCTCCACATTGCTTACCTTGCCGAAACTTGCAACGATATATTTCTCGTTGGAGATTTGACAATTCCAAAGGTGGAGACAGCAAATGAGCAGTAGAAGGCGAAACATTTTGTTAAGAACTCATGCCGATTTGAGTGCTGAGCGGGTTTTATATAGACGCGATAAGAAGCGCATCAAAAGTCGCTCAGAAAGCAATTAGGCTACAGATAAATACTACATATATTTGTTTTCTAGGAAAATATAAAATTTTATTCAATAGAAAAAATCGTTTAGACCTTACAAACTTGCGTCCCACACATAAGCCTAAGAAATGCTAACTGCAGTTTTAGTGTAGTTTGGAATTCAGTACTTAAAGTTAGGAGATATATAATATATATTCACTTTATAGCTAATAGTATTTAGTTACACGCTCTATACAAAATCATCCAAACTCTACTTAGCTATAGCTAAATTAGTTAAAGTATACTTCGATTATGGGATCCCAAAGTCTGACTGAATGTCAAATATTTATATGTGTAACATGAACTCTTAAGTTATATGACTTGCATTGCTCTCGTTGTATGAAATGCACGTGTTGTATAGCTTACAAGGCTCGTCGAAAGTCGGACTGTCATAAATAGTGAAGACTAAATTTTAGGAAAATTATGACAGGATTAGAAATGAAAATAATTGCAAAATAAAATAAATAAAAATGTATTTGATGCCCAGAATGGAAAAGAATGTAAGCAGAGAAAATATGAATTATTTCTAACACTTGAATTGAAACAATTTGCTATTGGGGCAAGCCATAGATTAAGGCAATAAAACTAATTACTGTGCTTATGCTATAAGCAGCTCATTGAATTCAGGTAAAACATGAATTAATTAACGAAAGTTGACTCAAAATTTGAATTCGATTTAACTTTCAGACAACATTTGAGATTTGCATTAAGATCTTAACACGGAAAAGATTATTTTGGGAAGGTTATACGATTGTAAGTCCTTTCAAAGAAATTTAACAATTTGTAAGATTTACTTCAACATTTTCCAGAGATTCAGAAAAGGAAATGTTGAAAAAAAAAAGTGTAAATATATGTTGAATGAACCAAATATTTTAAAGATATTTGCAAAAAAGTCACGTCTTAAAAATTCTATTAAATGGAAAATTCTAATCAGTTATCGAAGAACTTTTTAGATAATACTTGAATAATTTAAAAAATTCTATTGCCCAAAGATTGAAAAGTACTCAAAGAAGTTTTTAAGAAACTTTTCGAGCAAAATTGTTAAAAACATTAAAAACGTTAAGCAAATACTCTGAGCTTGGGGAATATAGCATAAGCACAGCAACTACTTGAAAACTAATTGAAAATAAAAAGAAGCATGATTTTTATATAAATATATATATAGCAATTATTTATATGAACCGCCTAGGCAAATTGTTTAAACTATTCTTAATTACGCTTGTTCATTTTATGTCATCCACTAGCAAGTCGAAGCTCGCGACTTCGTGCTTCAAGCGAAGGAATGTTAGTAGTCCCCATATTGATATGTGGGCGGTTGGTGCGTGGCCTTGCTGCTCGGCTGATAGAGATTGTGGTGCGACGACGAGCGATGGGCGAAGTTGGCGGCAACGGCGGCAGTTTCGGTATACGAATGCGACTGCGAGTGTCGCTGACTAGGCGAATGGGCGCGTCGAGCGCGACGCTCCTCAATGTTCGCCGGCCAACGCTGATGGTAGCGGGTCGAGTCCTCCGACGAGCGACGGCGATGGTAGCGCTTCGCCGAGCTGTTGGCCAATGGAGCTGGATTCTGCTCGGACTGCTGGCGATAGCTGCTGTCATCGCCGCTGCCAGCGCTAAGAGCCTGCTGGTATTGCCGCCTCATGCGCTCGTCCAGCGACGAGTTGGGCGTGGGCGTGTGGAGATCGATGACATCGCCATGGGAATTGCGACGAATTGGCCGCTGCATGTCTTGGTCGTAGTTCTCATACGGATTGCGTCGCTGCTTATTCCGCTGATGCTGCTGCTCATGGGCGTCGAGCCGTTGTCGCCACTCGGCCGCCGACACCTGCTGGCCATAGAGATCGGGCTGTGGCTGGAATTGTGCAGCGCCACTGCCATAAATATTCTGATAGCTGGAGTGCCGCCAGCCCTTCTCGACGGCAGCGGCGTTATTTGCCAGCTGTTGGCGGCGCTGTGAGCGACTGGAGCTGCTTTCCGATGAGTCCTCGCCAGAGGTGCCCAGGCCCTGGTCCTTCTCATCGCCGCCATAAGCCTTGTAGGGCGCACCCAGGAAACCCTTCGAGCCATAGGCATATGGCCCGTTGAGACCCATGCTGGGATACTGCATGTAGTAAGACTGAGCAAAGGGTTTCTCCAACACATTTGCCAGCTTCATATCGTCAGCACTGTCATCCACCTCCGCATCGGAGCCATCGTCACGGCCCGTCCACGTCAGCCAAGAGCCGGGTCCAAAGAGCGACAGCAGCACAGGCAACAAGAACAGACCGTGCATAGCGCCAAAGAAGATGACAAGGAAAACCATTTTGAAGAAGACCAAAAAGATATAGCTCTGGGCCAGTAATAAGGCTATAATGCCCAGGATCGTGGAGCTGGAACCCTGCACAATGGGCAGTCCGAGTGAATGGAGAGCCTCACGTACGCGTGCTTTGGGGCTGCGCTTCTTCGACGACATATAGGTGTAGCAAATGTGGGCGGTGAAGTCCACAGAGAAGCCAATGCACATGATCAGATTAATCATGGATATCGAGTCCAGATTGACGTCCCACAACGCCATGTAGCCAGCGACGCCCAGCTCAATGGATATGACCGAAAAGGCCACCCACAATGAGCAGAGAATATTGGGTATGAAGATGAATGAGATGATCATCATGATGATCGCGCCGATGACCATGGCCTGCAGTGAAACGGGACGCACGAGCTCAAACTGATCGAAGAACACAAAGTACGGATGGAAGATGGACGCATTCAGCGGCGAGTCCTTGCATATTTGACGCAAGTCTCGCACCATTTCCTTTTCGTGATTCGTATCCGTTATATTGACAGCCTGTATGAGGAACCTCGAGGCAATGATCTGTGTCTCCTCCGGATTGAGACGCACATCCAGTGCGAAGGGATTGCCAGGGAATAGCCAGTGCTCCTTGACTGCATCAATAAACGATTGCTCATCATCGATCGTCTCATTCAGATAGTCATTATTGCGGTCCATAAAGGAGAGGAACGAACGCAGCCACGATTCGGTATATAGGGAGGAGGTAACATAAGAGGTATGTTCCAAAGTGCTGGTCAGATTCTCCACTTGCTCTTGTACTTCGGGATCTGAGTAATTCAATGGGCCTGCAATAATAACCTGCAAAGGGATTTATTGGATGAGAGATGTTGAACAGGTTAAATGCTTAAAAAGAAACTTACCTGCATCCTGTAAGGAAACTCGCGGTAGTAGTCATCTTCACGATCGAAGAACTCCACTGAGTAGGAATCCTCCCGTGACAGCTTGCGCCTTTCTAGCCCCTCTTTGATTTGGGTAACGCCATAGCAAGCTCCAGCTAGATAACTGACGAAGGCCAGAATAATGATTATCTTGCACCATTTGTTGTTGATGACCGCTGCCAGTTTGTCCTTGAAGAAGGCCATGAACATGTGATCTTTGTTGTCTATGGGATTATCGGGATCATTGGGATCAATTCCGCCAGCCATGATCGCCTTGTAGAGGAAATTGCGTTTCTCTGCGAAGTGAGAGAAAAGTCGCTTTAGTCCAGTTGCCATTGACCTCAATTCCTCGGATTGCTATCGACGTTCTTCTTGGCCGAGACTAGTCTGGCTAGAGGCTTGGGGCTTCTGACTTGTGGCTCATGATCAAGTTCATGTTTCAGCTGCTAGTTGGTCGACTAAATTAATTTCATTCTCTCTAAGCTTGGCACTGAGCCGGTTGTTCGGGCCAACTAGCCCGCAGCCAGCAACAAGTGGACCTTGTCATAGCCAACCAAGTTTTGTCATCAGTGCAAATTTTAATTGTGGGCTTAGTAACAGATCAATAACGATGATGAGGTGACTAACTGCAATTGTTTATGCAACTGAGATATACGTGCATTGTTGGTTGATTTATCTTTAAATTTTAGCACCTCAAGTCGTTATGAAACAAGAAAATCTTTCTAAAATCAACTAAGAGACTATGTGAAATACATATATTATCATTTTTTAGCAAAGGTTAAGAAATATCTCTTTAAGAGATCTTAACTAGGTGGGTTTTGTATAGATACAAGTCTAACAGCTTTGCTTGTTAAGCTAAGATCCTTAAAGAATTAACTTAAAAAGGTTTTCTTTATAACTGACGTTATTCGTTAAAACTGTCAAGACCTCAAGAGTAGCAGCTCGTAAAAAATTATTAAGAGAAGTTATATATATCATAAAAACCTGCTCCAAATAGAAATCTTTATCTATATTTGCAAATTTAATTGTTAATTTTGAAATCTAAAACTGATTTATCATTTACCTTTAATGGCCACCGACATGGGCTTTACTTTACAGCCAAATATAGCATGAAGATTTCTGCGTTCCCTGTACCCAGATATGGCCATGCAGGCGGCAAAGAAAGTGATGTGCCACATGAATGTAAAGCAGACGGCAAACACGGAGTAGGTGCAAAAGATCTTGACCGAGCGGAACGGGCTGATGATGCCAATTAGAAAAGAAATGAAGTCCGTGACTGATGTTATGGTAATCGAAACCGCAGCCTCTGACATCATATGGGCCATGCGCTCATGGACGGGCATCTTGACCGGGGTACGTCGCCAGCCGGCCAACATGACGAACGTATCGTCGATGCCAATGCCTGCAATCCAATGGCAAAGTTAAGAAAACTGAAAATTGTAATATTTTTCAGCACTTACCAATCATTAGAAAAGGTGCTGCTAAATTAATTCCAATGAACTCGATGCCGCAGTACATGGCCAAGCCAAAAGCAGCCAAGGTGGCCATTATAGCTGAGATATTGCCCATCAGGCCGAGGAAAGGTTTCGACCGGACCGCATCGCCCATCATGCAGGTGATGATGCTAAACGAATGAAGAGAGTATTACAAAAGGTCAGCTGTACTACTCCTAGATCTGGCAGTTACTTACCTAAACAAGCCCATGAGCAGAAAGGTAGAGCTGAAGTAAGGCACTACGGTCTTGGTATTCTTTTCCAACTCATGATCCAGAGTTCGTGAGGCAAAGTAGGAAATCGATATATGCTTAAACATGCCCGAATCTTCAGCCTTGCCCACGACTCTCAGAAAGGTCTCCTCCCATTCACCGCCCCTAAGGTGTGGCAGTTTAGTATTAAAGTGTTATCTACGGCTTATGCTATTTTTTGTCTTACTTGGCATCTTGACGTTTTGTATCAGCAGTGATAAAGTAAACTAGTTGAATAGCTGGCACGCTTATGATATAATTATCTTCGGTTAGTTTTGTGCCACCAAAGAATACTGGAAAGGCGTGAGCATCCCATGTCACAGGATTAAACATGATGGGAAATGTTAAGTTCAATTGACCCGATTCGATCTGCAGAGAGAAAGAGCTCAGTGGAGTTTAGCTAAAAAATAGACCTTGCACTCACATCATCCATCAGGGCGTCCAGGTTTAAGATATCATTCTCGAAACACTCATTCTCCCAGCGAGCACAGTTATCCTTATAGGTAAAGGTATCGCCATCATATGTGGTTGTCGCATTTTGTATGAGATTATCTAGCTGTCGTAGCTCCATAAAAATCTCTCTGCGCAGCATATTCTCATCGCCATCTTTTGGTATAACAATAACGCGACCAAATCGACCTGCAATTGACAGAAGATAAACAAGAAGCTAAATCTGATCATGTTGTCTTATGTTGTGTCGCAATTATATCTATTTGATAATAATTTAAAGTTTTGAAGCAAATAGAATCTTGCTGATATATGAAATTTGAATAAATTAACTATTATTTTTCTGGCTTATTGGTAAAAGAATGCCTTCGTCGGAGACTATTCAAATTACTTTCGTATATTGTCCATTATGATTACACCTTTTTAATAGAATTAAATCTTATTTGTAAAGTTAAAGTTATTTGAAAGTTAAACGAAATGAAAGACCTAAGCAAATTATGTAAGGAATCTTCAAAAATTCAGTTCTCTCAATATACAGTCAAAAGCTAAACAACTCTCCAGACTTCATCAAATTTCATCAAACTTAGATTTAATCATAGTTTGACCCTATTTTGTACCAGTGTTCACTGCCTAGGCCTTCTTCAGTGCCAGCGCCTCGTTTTTTATCTGGCGACGTGACAATAATTCAAATCAGTTTCATTTTCAAAGATTTTTTTATTAGTTATTTGCGCTCGTATAATTCACTTCCACATTGTTAGAGTATTGTGCAAATCGTTTTGTGTTTAATGCGCCATAACAAATGCAGCAGTGTTTGTCACCGACCCGCTATATATGTGAATAAATAAGTACATGCGTAGATAATACTATATATATAACTATATATATCTGCATATATATCTTTGTATATCTGTATATCTAATGCTGTGCTATAAGAAGTTGTTGCTTAGCATCTGGATGGAACGTGACGCTCCACACGTTCCATTCGCAAATATTTTGTCAATGAACTTGTAAAAGATCTAACAACAATTTTGACATATGCAAACTGTGCACGTTGCTTTTATAATATATACAGATAAACAGAAATAGAGGAAGAGATAATTTTCTATTTATACTCGTAAGGTAGTTGCTGATAAGATAGTTTTGAAAAAAATCGGTCTTTATCAATTTAATTGGAATAAGTAAAATAAATAGAAAAAAAGATTTTAAAATATGTGAATCTAAAGTTAGATAAAAATGTGAAATATAACTAATTCAACAATCTATATGATTCCTAGGAAAATGTAATTTTTTATATGAGTTGTTTGATTATTTAAATATATTATATTGAAACTTTAAAAATGATTTAGGCTATTCAAAGCATCACTATTAATTTCAAACGTTTATTTAACTACTAGAAATGATCAATTTTATTTATACTTCAGTTTTAAAATTTCGCATATAAATATTAAAATAATTATTATGACAACTCATTTCAGTTGACAATTTGTAAAAATAAAAACAAAAAAATGTAAATCACACTCGATTGTCTTCCCATACCGGGAATTGAACCCGGGCCTTCCGGGTGAGAGCCGGATATCCTAACCACTAGACAATATGGGAGATGTATTCGAGTGACATCTAAGTGCTAGTTGAGCAACGACAAAGCAGTGCAAGCAGTTCAAATCGTATTATTTATCATTTTATATGCACGACAATGTTTATAGCACTAATCAATTTATATAACATTGTATCGAAACATAAAATTAAAAAATAAATAAAATGAATGCAACGTTTTGTTGCGCTACATAAAATAATATACTTAATTTTTCGAGACAGGCAGGCGAAAGTTGGTTGCACTGCAACACAATTTATTTGCTAACATGCAACTCCATTTGAGTTTAAAGCATTTGAAATCGCCTCTGTGTCTGGGGAAATACACACACAGACTAAATACGACCAAAAGTGCAAGTCAAGCGAAGCGCAGCTAACTGGTCGAAACCGACTAAATGCGGTCTAGATAATGGCCATAAACAGTTAGCTGAAATAAAACAGTTGTTGCTGCTTCTGCTGTTGCTGCTGCTGCTTCAGTTGCAACTCGCAAGACAAGACTCGTTGTGCATCTTCTTTCAGCATTTGTGATTGTCAAAACCAAAGTTCAATGATGCTACGCACACACGCACATGTTAAATGAATGCTTGATTAAGTGGTTAAGCCGAGATCTAGAAATAAAAAATTACTCTTATGAGCATTGAATACTGAAGACCTCGATTCTATCGAGTGCAGCTCTCTGCATAGAATGCGGCCACCAGATTTCACAAGAATCATTTGTTAATCTTGATCTTAGTATATTTCGCTCACTCACGCGCTGGCTCTTTCTCTTTTTTTTTTATATATATGTATATATAGTGTACCGTCTCAACGTTTGGCTGTGTGCTCATTATTTTTGATGATTTTTTATGACTGTTACGGTTGTTTTTTTTTAATGTATTCGGTATTTCACATAATACACACGTTTTTCAATTTGTGCAACAATATTTGCGAATTATTATTTTGCAAAAGCTAAGTGTTTTTCTAATGCCGCGCTGCTTGTATTTATGAGACACGTATGATACACAAATTTTCAAATCTAAAACTTTGGTATTTGCTAAAGGTTATTTTCTTTTATATAATAGCTGCTGCCCTAGTACACACTCGTTTCGGCGGTCACTAAAAATAGAATCTATTTTCAGCTAACTATAAATGAATAGCGTAAATTCTTAAAATGTTAATGTGGATTGTAAAATTTGTTCATTTCGCCAATGGATAACAAGCCTCCCATATGGTCTAGTGGCTAGGATATCTGGCTTTCACCCAGAAGGCCCGGGTTCGATTCCCGGTATGGGAAGTAAATTTTTTATTGTTTTAGTTTGGAATTTCATAGAAATATTATTCTTTAACAATCATTATTTTTGAGATATATAGATAAAAATACTTGGAATACTAGTTGATACCAACTTTAAGCTTATTGTGTTTATGTTAAACTGTCACTGACTCAAGCCGTTCGGATTTTTTCTTTTATGTGGCACAATGTCATTTGGCAATTTTACATCATTTGTTACCCATGGTTGTTGTGACTGTTATTGTTGGTTTTGGCTAATAAGCCATTTAGTGTAGTTAATAGCGTGTAGAAACGCTGCCGCGGTTCAAGACTGTATTCAAATGTTGCCCACACATTTCATCTCTTCGTTGATTTTGTAGACTTGAACTTTAATGTTAGAAACTAAATATTGTCTGAGTAAAACTTGGATTTGCAACACAACTGTTTCAGCGAACTGAAATGGAGCCCAAGCGTGGTGCAAAAAGTGTTGCAATTTTTAATTGGATAACTAAATGGGTGTCGTCGAGCCATTTCACTTGCCCAAGGTTTTGCTATTACGGCCACACATTTAAGCCCCTCCCTATTCATATAGACAAATTTTGAATGTTGCTGTGGACATTGCTGTTGTTGGAACTTACCCGGTCTGGTAATGCGTCCTACATTGAAGCGATGCGTATAATTCACTTTGAAATATTGCTCAACAAGCGCACGCTCGGCCTTACCCTCGCCATTGATGGGCGAAAACAGATATTCGGGATCGATTTGGTACTTTAACTGCTGATAGCTGAATAATAAAATAAACGGGTTGATCAAATATGTTTAAAAATCATAATACGAAAAGGTATTAAGCGTTTTCTTTCTCAACTCACCCGGTCATACAGAGCAGCGTTATCATCACGGGTATAATGACAAAATAGCCCGGATGTTTGGCTATGCAAATGCCCAGGTGATAAAATGATTTGTTTAGTGTCTTATCGACACACGATATGCCGCACGTCATCTGTGAATGGCAAAGATAGAATTGTTGTTCAGATATTTGTAGGTATAATAAAGTTATCTAAATAAGTGGATAGGTATTAGCTATTGTCGTACAACTACAACTCAAGATCAACTATTTGAAGCAAAGGCATTAAAAGCTGAACTCAGCTGAGCTTCAATTGCGTGCATGTTGTACTCTAGTGAAGGTGAAAGACTTAAGGCAAAAGTAGACTGAAGCTGTGATTATAGGCTACATAGGGTAGGCATAATTGTATTTGCATTTGTATTCGTGTTTATATTTGTGCTTGTGCTGTGTTGTGCTTTGTTCATCGGCACCTTCAACTTAACGTAACACACGCATTGTTTTTAGTATGCTATTTGTCTGAATAAATTCGAGAAAACAAAATATATATAAATGCCCTTGTTCATCTAACAAAACATAACAATAAAATAAATTACCTAAAAATTAGACACTAATGCACATTATCATGATCATAGAAGTCAAGTACAGCAATATAATAAACAGCTTACGGATAATTATTCGAAATTGGCTCCGCTGGTACTAATACGATTTATTAATACAGAAAAAAAGAGTTTTTTTTTAAATATTTACATTATTTTAAAGTTCAAAAAAATTGAAGTCGCCCCCGGGTGGACTCGAACCACCAACCTTTCGGTTAACAGCCGAACGCGCTAACCGATTGCGCCACGGAGGCCTTGTGTGTTCCGAGAATTCTAAGTAAGTTGAACCTAGTATGATATTACACCAAGCTGAGCAAAACAATATTTTCATAAGAAATTTTGCCAGGCAATACGAAAATGGGATTGGACAAGGGAACATCAACAGCCTCCGTGGCGCAATCGGTTAGCGCGTTCGGCTGTTAACCGAAAGGTTGGTGGTTCGAGTCCACCCGGGGGCGATTCACTTTTTTTTTTTCACAAATTCAATTAAAAATGGAAATTTAGTGAGATTTTTAAATGTTTTTTTTTTACAGAACATAATATATTTATATTTAGTTATTTATATTATTTTGGGAATGTAGAGACTACTTACATAAATAATGAATTTCTTAAAAAATATATTTTAAATAGTTTTTTAAGTCCACAATAAATTACAATTTAAATATTTGGTCTATAATTTATTACAATGAAAACAATATTTGTCGCTGCGCAATTTGTTTAAGCAATTACTCATGCCAACCAAATACAGAATGTCACATAGACAATTCGCTTTATGAATTTGGTTGAACAACGCGCTTCAATGAACTCTACATGAATAGAACATTAGCATTATAATTGCCCAAGACCGACCCTACTGACAACAACAAAAAGAAAACAAAGAATGAGACAATAACAATAAGAAGACAACCACAAACATACACAACACATTCAGCGAAAAATGAAGCAGACCTGAGTCTGTTAACTAACAGTTGTGGAATCAAAGTACGCAGAAATGTTTTTAGCAACTGTCTGTGAAGACGCTACTGTTGAGCCAGTTAGAAGGCAATGTTAATACTAATGCTCTACTGCTCAATAATCATTAGGCAGTAAAACATTACTTTCTTGTTTGCCTTTCTCGACTTGGTATTTGCATGCTAAACGCCACGCCAAAACACCAATTATCCAAATTCATCTGTATCTGCAAGCGCAAGTATCTATAGCTTCAGCTATAACTGTATAAGTCTTAGTAACTTTCTATTTTTATTCATTCGGGTTCAACGACAACTGACGCTGCACTTTTACAAAAAAAAAAAAAAACACAAAAAATGGTAACAAAACAGACATTACAACACGAACGCCCATTGCCCATAGCACACTTAAGTCTTTTGGCTTTTGGATTTGCTTCAGTCAAGGTTAGAGCTTCAGTCTGGACCATTGCAGCGACTAATGCTGTTGTTGTTGTTGGCATAACGGTTCATTATGTCAAAGTGATTTAATAAACAAGTTGGGCGCCAAACCTCAACACCCGAGGAGTGTTGTGTGGCAACAGTCGCCAACGTCGACAATATTTATATTTGTGTTAAAAGGCCAACAAATGAGTCTCCGACGCTGTCCATCATCAACACAGTTCAGAGCAGGGCCAGGTCTCTAAATTGCTCGCTGCCATATGAGTACATATATTAGTAGAATAACAGTTAAACAATTATGCAAATATGCGACACGTTTTGTGCACGATTCGTGAGATGGCTTCATTTTATCGTTTACTTTACAGGTGTATGACGACTGTTGCTCGATAAGTTCTGTATGAATTCCAAAACTAATCCAAACGTCTTTAAACTTTTTTTAAACCCTCCAATTCACATATGTGTATGAAAATGCTGAGATTATGGTAGAATGAACTTATCGACTTTTTTTATTATATTCCTAAGCATTTTCACAAATTTAATTTATAAAGATATTTAAAATAACAGGAATTTATATTTAATAAAGAGCACATTTGCTTAAATGGATGTATATTTCATGCATTTCATGTATATTTTTAACAATCTTGTTTTATTTTGGATCCAAAATTTCACCAAACTAAAGTGAGGTCAGTTGCAAATATTCTGACAAATATTCCCATAGAATATATAGATTAAGATCTTGATGATGAAAAAAGCAGGTTCAAGATATCTCCAAGTCGGGCACTCTCGACTAGACATTTCTTACTTGCTGTCATTACATGCACCTGCTTATTATCGTCAGGGTATCTTCTAGTCGGGCACCCTCGACTAGAGCTTTGTACTGTCATAACATGCCTATCATCAGCGAGTTTCTTTATGTCAATCTTCATTTAACTTATCATTTGAACATATGAGTGCACTCGCACTTTCGAGTTTGGTTAATCCTACTTTCACTTGAGCACAATTTCGCTTTCGATCGCATTAATTATCTTGCAGTATTCTGATATTGCTGATGTGGCTTTACTATAAGCTGACTTTTACATAAAAGACCATAAAATTTTGCGCTTCGCTTTCAACTCTCAACTCTCATTAGTGCGATCAAAGTCTAAAAATTGTTTGTCCGATATTATGCAAAATTTAAAATTTTACAACATAATCGCATAACAAACGCAGCATCCCTCAGAGCTCATTAATGAACATTTAAGTGATGTTGCAAGCGCCAACTTTAACTTCAACTTCAACTTTGACTTCAGCTGGAACTTTAGTTTTCATAACCAGCTGCCCGGTGCCGGCTGACATGAAATGTCAAAATAAATGCGTTATCATGTCATCTGCGGTGATTGCATTAGTCGCAACTAAAACGATTTGCTAAACTTTTCAAATTTGCCAAATCAAAAGCTCAATTTGGCTCTTGATTCATGGCACGCCGCTCGACACGTTCGCACCTTGAGAGTTTCCCACATGTTCCTTAGCTTGAATACGTGTCACGAAAACCAAGAAGCGAGCATAAATATAAACAAATATCTAAAAACATATCTAAATAAAGACTTATTTAAATGTGACGGCCATCAAAGGCGATTTCTGCATAATTTCTGGGTCTTCCGCCAATTTGGGTAACTGGGTCGAAAAGCAGCAGCAGCATAGCAGCTGCTTTGATTTATAGCAAAATATTTAACAATAAACTTTTTTTTATCAAAATGCAAATATTTACGCATTTGTAAGCTATTTTTTGATATATCATTAGAAATTCTTTGAAGCGCCGAGAAAGTTGTCTGCCCAAAAAGAGTTTGTCGCTTAAGTCTTTTGTTTTCCTTTTGTTTTTATTTCGATTTTTGCTTTTTGGACAAAGCAATTTGACGTTTTATTGTTTATGGCTATGCGTGTGTGTATATATGTGTACGCAGTGTATATTATGTATTGCATATTGATGATTTCTTTGAAAGAATGTTTACGAATTTTTGATGTGCCAACTTTTTTACATGTTCCGTTTCTTTTTTCGGGGTCATTGCAGATTTGTAGCTTAAATAAAATATAGAAACATATGCATGTAGTGGATTCAGCTCAGGTGTACCAAATAATATGTGCACCTGTTTTTATTTTACTTCTAGAGGAATTTATATATTTACTTATTCAGGTCAGCTTAACTATATATAGCACTATATATACGTATCTCAAAACTGAGCCGAAATAAAATTGACTTAAATTTATTATTATTTTTTGCTTAAGTTCAGCCTTAATGAGAATCGCATTAAAGCACTAACAGACGGAAAATACAATTAAAAATGTGTATTTATTTATATATATATAAATATTTAACATTTAACTAACTAGGTATATAATGAAACTTTGTTAATAGAACAAGCGTTAACAATGCAATGCAAATCTCGCATTTGATATGGTAAACTATTTGTACACAAAATAAGTTAAAGCATTTTACCAAATTTTAATTAAAAAGTAAGAAACATCGAGAGTAAGCGACGCAATTACCTTTGAGCGCGGGAAACCCCAAAAAATTCTGTGGCAAATACACTGCATAAAATGTTGCCTTAATGGAGCTGGTATAATTTCCCAATATCCAGTAAGAGTTGGAGTTTTCCAGCAGCTATGTGCACAGCCTGTTCGCAGCTTGTTGTTTATCTGCATTTGTTGCAAGGTATTACATAAGTGTGGTTTACCCAGGCTCAAATTGCACGCCTTTCAGTCTTTATATTACTTGCTTCTTGAACAACTTATATAATTGATTTCTGCGTTGCAAAAAACCACCGCACACATGCTTAACTCAATGTTTGCCTTTACCAAATCTAAAATTCAACAACTTTCACTTTTTGTGTTTTTTTATTTCATTTTATAATTTTATCGATTTGTTTTTGCAAATAATCAAATACTAAGAAATTACAAAATGCATATTGATTAATGCATATTCAAAATATTCATTTCACTAATGCGAAATAGCAGAAAAGAAAAGGAAATTATCAAAAATGAAACATCAAAATTCCATTTAATAATTTACCTTGTGGATGGCTTTGAATTTGGGTCAAGTCAGTCAAGTAGAACGCAAGACTCTATTGACCTTAACATGTGGGCGTGGCTTAGCCAAAAAGCCAAACAATCTATATATACATATATTAATTTGTTTTTCATTGTGGATTGTCAACTCAAAAGCTGATTCACATTTATATTGTTGTTTTTGGCAACGGGCAAACAACCTTTTCGAATTTCTTACAATTTGTGTGGCAACAATTGTTTGCAATGAATTTTAATTAGTCTTGCTTCGAGGCTGACGAATGAACAAATTAACATTGAGCACCTGTTAAACACTTGGCAACAAGTTGCTACTGGCCTATCGTCCCGGCATATTGATATATACGATATATATCGTATATATGTATTTAAATCGAATACGAAACCCCAAATCGAAAACACTTTCTACTTTTTCTGCGACTCTGAACTTCAAGCTGCCCGAGCTTGGTCTGACGCATGCGTAGCCAAACAACCTGGAACTAGGTCACACACACACACACGCACGCACACACACACCTAGTTAGAGCTCGCTCTCAGTAAATGCTTTCAATTTGAATTTAATTTTTTTTATTTATTATACTCGCTTTTTGATTTGTTTGGCTTTGCATTAATTAACCATTTGTTGGCTAGCTTTAAAACGGTTTTATCAGGCAACTCTTTTCGAATTCCTTTTCGTAGCTGTGGGTCAGTAGAGCAGGTGCGAGCTGCTTAAATAGCTTAGCTCCAACTGATTTGATCATTCAAATACAGCGAAAAACTCATTTAAATCATTCGTTTAACATCAGCTAAACATTTCCGGGCACTAAATCGTGTTGATAATTAAAGAAATTCGATTTTGTATTATGATAACTTTACTCGTTAGTTTTTTTTTTGTCTCTGGAATCTTTGGAATCTGTGGAATACACTTTTTATGTGGCTCGTTCAATATTTAACTAAAGGCGCAGCCTAACTAGAAAACTAGAAGGAGAAAAATGACAAAACATTTCTGAATCTCTAGTTAGGGTCTTCTGGATAATTACAGAATCTTTAGCATTAGTTAACAGATATGCTGCACTTGGCTACTTGAAAATCTTTACATTATGAAACACATCAAGGTTTTTGCTGTGCACAAGTTGAAAATGTATTCAAAATGATTCATTGAAAGCTGTAGAAAAAATGTTAGTTATTAAAATGTTATTTATTAGTAATAGCTCAGGCCCGGACAGGTCTTATTAGAGAAATTAAAACTTACTTCACGATTTTTAAACTTGCTATAAAAACCTACATTAAATCCCTTCTTCTTCTGTTTTATAAATTCTTTAAGCATTTTCTATTAAAATTATTTAAGAAGCAGGTAAATTTGGAGCCCCTAACTCAATTCAACTCTATCATTCCCTTTCGAGAATTAAAAGCAAGCGATAGATCAACAGGAATCATGCTGCCAGCAGCAATTCGATGCCTTTAGAGACGCAGGCTCCTTAATGACTTTAGGCTTGTTCCATCATTTATTCAAGAGTTTTCTGGATTCAAAACACAAAGAACGTAAACCTATTTTCTCATATTCCATTAATATTCAGTACAGTTGTGTCTGCCAGAGTGCCGTCAATGAAGCACAGCAGGTAGCTCGTAGCTCCCATCTAATGGCTTCGATATTTGAGTGATCCTCTGATGATTCAATGGCCTAGAGTTGGGTTGCCGTGCAGCCTGCATAGGTAGCATACGCAAACTGGTTTCGACTGGTTAATGAACAATTGTTTAACTGCAGACCCAAGCGGACATTTTACGGCTGGCCATTAACAACTTTCGGCACGCGACTTCACTGCTCAATAATTTGCGAAATCTAACAAATTGTCTTGACAGTATTAACTGCAACATTAACATAAACACTAATAGAAACTGCTAAGCGAACAGCTTAAATATTTGCTAAAGCATTTAACAGGCAACCGAACGCCACAATTTAGCAAAGTTCGAGTTGCGATCGTAGTTCCAGTTCCAAAGCCAAGTGGCACGCCACAAGCCCATCCAGGTGTCAACTAAAGCACCAGCTCAGCCACCCGCAAAAAGTGGTTCCAAGTGGTTCCACGGCAATCAATAGGCGTCTCATGTGCAAACTCTTTTGAAAGGAAAAGTGCCCTGCCAGCCTCACACTCACAGTCAGACTCAGCCTCAGATGCCATATACTGAGCTCTTGTTCCAGAAAATCTTTCATTGTGTAGCGCTCTGAAGTGCCGTTACACTCTACACTTTATATTTATATATGTGTATATACGCCACACACATGTATATATACTTACATACATATAGTATAGCTGATCAGCAGTGCACTTTCTTTTTTCTACCGCATTTCTCGACGGTTTCTGCTTTGGCTGCGGCTTTTGTTTTCGTTTTGTTTTCTTTCTTTCTCTCTTTCTTTCTCTCTTTCTTTGTTGGCTTTTTTAACATTTGTATATGTGATTTACTACTTCTACTTTTTTATTATTGGCCTGCCAATTTGATGATATATTAAGTCGATGCTGTTAGCTAGGAAAACGCCATCATAATTGCTCATTTCTCATTTTCTACGGAAAGCGAAGCTGAGAGTAAAAGTCTCATGTGATAAGGCTAATTAACGCCAAGACCAAAGAAAGTGCAAGTTATTGTGCTTATTGTGATTAGTCGAATTGTAGTTTAATATGCCTGGCATATCACCAGCCTCAGTTGAAGGCGTAATTGAGATCTTAGTGTGTGGGCAGAGATAGCGCAACATATAGAGAGAGTGGCAGAGTGGGAGGGTGAGAGGTTAAGTGAGTGGGGCTCTATGAAAAAGTCTAGAAAATTAGTTTGGAACGTCACGGTTTTCGATCGACTTACTATTACAGATCGACTTAAAACTTTGATAAAAAATAGTTAAGCCCAGCATAAACTTTGTGAAAAATACAAAACTCAGCACGTATATTAGGATTTGTAAGAGGTAAACATTATTATCTTATATAATGAGCTGTAGTCATTTTAACGACTTAAGAAGTTTTTCAAGCGAACAGATGTTTATACGAATTGCTGAGATTTTCGACTGAGAGAACTACAAATTATGACAACTCGACTCGACTGAGACGTTTTCATTTTAAATATATTGATGAATAAATAACATTTGAAGATTGCTTATGTCAAAAATAAGTAGTCGATTCTTGTTTGTAGACACAATTTTTTGAAATATATATATATATATATATTTGAAAATTTTCAGATATATAAATAGAAAATGGTTCAAAAAAACGAACAGTCATTGTACAATCTGTAAAGCCTATTTAAGCATCAGCACCAACTACCCGAACTTGGAGTATGTTTACAGGTACAGCCTAACATTTGAAATCAGCTTACGCTGGAAAATATCCTCAACCAACGTAAATTGATAATGAATTTTTGAATCGATATACATCGATGTGGAGCTTAACAAAATGCAATCGCAAGCAGCCATGCTTAATGAATTTTTGAAACTATGATATTATGATACACTTGGCCTTTTCCATTTCCATTTCGATCGCGATCTCGATTTCGATTTCCACAGTGCTTTCGGCCTTGAACATAATGGGATTTGCTCGAACAGAAATTGATTAAAAGTCGACGCAAACGAACCGGTTTTTTCGGCAATTTCACTTGAACTTTCATTAACTGTGCAACTCCAACCGGGCGAGGGGGAAGTTGCACATATTTACACATTACATAGTCAACAAAGGCAAACCGGATCATAATGAATCGGACCACGTTTCGGATCGGATGCGGTGCGGGGCTAGTTTTATGTAATCATTTTTCGGGTCGTATGTTCAAAATGCAAACTTATGAAAATTGTTGTGTATACAACTGACTGTGTGTGTCCTAATGTGCGAGTGCGTGTGTGTGTGTGTGTTTTGGACTATTGGCCAATGCGAGATATTGATGTTTGGCTTCGGTGTCTTGCATGTTGTCTTGACTTTTTCGCTTCACTTTTTAATGCCAATTTGTGTGCTGACTTTGAGGCTCAGGTTTTGTGCTCTGGCAATAGCCAGGTAATTGTAGCTATGCTCCAATTAAATTGCATTTATTTACCTGTCAAAGTTTCGAGTATGAGTTGGAGCAGCAAAAGAAACGTAGCTCGCAATGCCCCACACGTCACCTGCTATCACAATCACAATTTGTCGAGTTTAATTACAACTCGTCTAGGTTGTCATTCATTTAACAATTCGCTAAGGTGCAAATTTAAGATCTTAAGTTGATTTTTTCATTATGTGATTTAATTAAAGCCACAGTCTGAGAGGAAACCTTTCTGGCACTTGACATTTAAATGGAAATTGTCGAAAACGCAAGCCACAAATTAGAAATAATTGAAAAAATTGCCTCTTAAATTGGCCATAAAATTGCAAAAGTTTCAAAAGTTATTCAAGATTTGTATTTAACATATGTTTCTATTATTATGAGATTTGTGGAATTTGAATTACCAGGAATTACTAAATTGAGCTTTAGTTGGGCTTGGAAAATTTGGCACTGTTAAGAAATTTCAAAATTTAAATTGTTTTTTAAATAATAAATTTGCCATAAAAACTTTAATTCTATTTTTTAACTACATTTTTTCATAATTCATTATAAATAATATATTTATACTTTTATAACATTCACTTAAGAAATTTTAAAATTTTACTTCTAGTTTAATAATGTATTTTGCAAATATTTTTTTATAAAATATATTTTTTGCCATAACAACTTTATACAAATATTTGTTCATTATAATTATAAATATATCATTTATAGTTTTTCATTTATTTGTAATAATAATTTATAATAAATTTAAAAAATTCATTTTTATACCATAAATTATTTTTTTACATTTTTTTAAAATATTTTTTAAATAAATTTCTCTAATTTTATTATTATGCGTCTAATTTTATTAGTTTCAGTTGGGGATGACGCAGTTAATTCCTTGGCAGGCTCTCAAAATACCGATGCGCAATATACACAGATGACACCCCCTCAACACAGGACAAAGTAAATAAGCACTGCCCCAAATATATTCTGAACACACTAAAATATAATCAATAATAATAAATATCCTTGCGAGACTTACCTTGTCGTTATTAAAATCGTTCGTTGAATATCCAAAAGAATTTTCTATATATCGAATTATATATCGAATATATCAAATATATCGAAATTGTACAAGATGTTCGTTTTGCGAATTGGCGTAAGGAAAAGATTGAAGTGCACTTTTGTCGTGTTTCGCATATGATAATTATCAATGCTTCGATATTTTAAATAAAAATTAAAAAATATTATTAAACTCTTTGTTCTTGAACACCAGACACACGCACTAGATTGTCCGTCATTTTTATATCAATATATACATATATTTAAACATATATGTTTATCCAATCGCATGTGGATTGTGGACGTTAAAAAATCTCGAACCTGCGACGTTTCGACGGAGCGACTGACCGACCATTGGCTTTGAGACCGTCTCACGGACTGGCAATCGAAACTGAGCCGTGGTCTCGCATAGCCGAGCTACACTGAGTATCAGCAAGCAGAGCATGCATTTGTGAGCGCAATAGAGAGAGAGAGAGCGCAGATGAGAGAACACTCCGATGCTCTCTCTCTCTGCTGCTGCTCACCTGTTGCATGTGTTACAACTCTTTTCTTTCTCTCTCGCTCGCTTATGCTATTTATTGGCTTTCAGGTGTTGCATTTGAGCACCGGTTTGCGCCGGTTTAAATTTTTGGGAAAATTCATTTTCTTATACCTGTTTGATTTTGTTGTTGCTGATGCTGTTGTTGTTGTACCTTACTCTCAAGTCTGAAGGTCGCAGTTTCGCTCATTAATCGCTGCTTCAGCACTTTCTTCTGCGCCTGCGTATAGATTTTATTTGAGCTCAGCTGTGTGTGTGTATGTGTGTGTATGTGTATTTGTATTAACAAGATTTTCATACGAATTGTGTCTCTGAGGAGCAGCCATAAATGTTTATGGAACGCGTTTCGCTAGAATCATATAGTTTCTAATCCTATATTGACTATATAGATACATAAAGATATGCATACAACATATATGTATATATGCCCAATCCCATTTCATATTAATGTTTAAGTTACATTTAATATTTAAAAGTTTTGTGATGAATGACTTAGAGCACTGTAACATTGTTGGGAGCACGAACAGCATCGGAGTTAGAAAGCATTTAAATCAGACAGAACACATAAGAGTAGGACTCTAGTACTAGTAGAGGGTTCAAATTATTAGACTACTAAGTTGAAATTAAATAATTATCAGATTCTCGAATAATCTCGAATTGAATAAAGACATTTGTTCACAAATACTGAGAGTTTGCTATTAGTTAATAAAAAAATGTGCCGTAGTCGGGACTGCTCAACTAGGAGATACCAGGAACACTGCGAAGCGGGGACATTTCAGGTGCCTTACTATAGGCACCCAATTTTTAAATTACATTTCATTTAAATGAATTTTCTTAATTAGCCAACCAGATATTTTTTTGCCAAAGACAACGTCTCTCGTATTATAAATACTTATTTTAAGAATTTTGCGCTAAAGGTAGACGTATCCCAAATCCAAAAATTTGCAAAATATGTATGTGCACAGGAGTCCTCAAAGTAAATAAAACGTATCTATCTCTTATGGTATTCAAGCTTGAAATTGAATAAAGCAATAAACTCGTACAGCATATTTTATAGACGGACAAATGGACAGATTCACTCGGCATCCTGTACAAAAGACGTTCCGACTTTCTTTCTTGTAAATTAAAGAAATAGTTGGGCAGTTCTCAAAAGATTGTTTATTCTTGTTGCGAATTAAATTCTGGAGTCTGCAGAAGTAAAACAAGACAGACTTCTATTCTATACAATTCTAACCGACATGAATATTAATCTTTGGCTTACTGATAAAGTCCATGAAGTGAGTATTTGTTGATTAATCAATTGGGCAATGCAGACATGAATTTCATGAGCTTAATTAGCTTAACTATGATTAAAATATTTAAGATACGAAATATCTTTATAACTAATTAAACGAATGCACAGACCTTCGGTCATCATTAAAGCAACATTTGAGCAAATAGTCTGGCGATTTCATGAAATCTCTAAATTCCTAAAGCTCACAGCCAAAAATAGCCTAAAAGTCGAATATAATTGAAATATTTTAGTGTCAGGAACTGCAGAAGTGACAAACAGCCAAGTGACAAATTTATTAGATCAATGTGAGAAATTTGCTTGAGAATTCAGAAAATTCAGTAGCATAGAGAAAGAGCTGGCGACTAAAAAACTCACACACACGGAGAGGGCGAGAGAGAGAGATGCTTAAGCGGAAATTTTAATAAAAATTATATACAATTTATTTCAAACAGTGAAAATACACACACGCACACTCAGCTTGTCTGTGTGATAAAAATACGCAGAAGCCAGTATTGAAAATATTATATGTACTCGTATATGGACTATATAGAAGGCGATCTACTGCGCGGTCTGTTGATAGCACATACAAATCATCAGATAAGCACGTTCAACTCAGTCGAGGATTGACGGCCCATTCAATTGAGTAGGTGTAGGTGTAGGTGTAACTGTATCTGTAGGTGTATCTGTATTTGTATCTGTATCTGTATCTGTATCTGTAGCTGTATCTGTATCTGTATCTGTATCTGTATCTGTATCTATATCTATATCTGTATCTGTATCTGTATCTGTATCTGTATCTGGTTCTGTATCTATATCTGTATCTGTATCTATATCTGTATCTGTATCTGTATCTGTATCTGCGACTACTGCAAACTGCGATGCTTCGAATCGTATAGTTGAATTTAATTCTGTGCAATCAGCGACGCTCTATATATATATATATATATATTTCTCACATATACGAATATGTGTTTGAGCATGAGTAAAGAAAGCGTTGATTGGATTTTGAATGAGACTACGGTTGTAGCACATCAGCAGTACACAAATCCCTCGCTACACTAAGCCAAAAATAACAGACTACATCGATATATCTTTATCATTCTATATCGCTCAATACAATTTGTGGTATAATATAGGCCTACTTTGACAACGAAATATAAATAAAATTTAGTTATTTAGTTTAGTTAGTTAGTTAGAGCTTATGCTTTTTTCAAGTGTTTTTTTTTTAAGTTTGATTTAATAAATGCTCATTTAACGTATTCAAA